ATGTGATAAATAAACAAAAAAACCTAACCTAATCAACCATTCCACGGCAGCAATATTATAGATGATGTATCAGTGACATGGGTATATGCCAAATGCTGTCATGTTTCTCATGCACAGTAAGATTAGACTTCTGAAGTTAACATGCATGGTTGATTAATCTTAATTTACACTTAAACGAGCAATCAAGCGCCTAATAACTAAGCACAACATCATTATTATTACTTTCCTTTAGCTTTGGCCGGCATCAGAGGACAGTAATTTCTCTGAGATGATTGGATAAGAAGATATTATCTAATACGCAAAGTTTACTCGTGGCTATCCAAACCAAGCAGATCCAAGTTCAGAAGATAATAAAGGTGCGGGCAACATTCAACCACCATTTTACTTGAGAATATACTACAATATTGATACTTTTTCTTTTTGTGAATTGGGATGGATGATGATTAATTTTACATAATGGTAAGCAATAAAATGCACTTGAAATTGAAAGTCATGCCACTGGAAATGACAAACTCACATCCTATCCATCACAAAATATATACAAATGGAAGCCACTCAATGAGGGGCACAGACAGTAATAATTAGATTAAACAAAGACAAAAAGTAATGGGTGAATTTTTTTTCTGAATAGGGTTTTTCCTCTAAACCCTAAAGTTGTAAATGCTCAAAAACACATAGCCCACCTCAACCAATCATTTTCATTTGACTGGTATCAGAAAATTCTACAAATTGTGTTTATTGGTTGAGACCACCCTAACTAGGGTGGTCCAATCGGTGCCCTAAAAATACTCGTCTTCTGTATATATGCACTATAAATATATGTGATTTTCCACCAAAAGTAGCACTTTCTTGCAGAATTGCAGTTTCTAGCTAGGATTCTTTGTTTTTGGGAGCCCCATGAAGGAGACACTAAGGTACTTGGCAGGAATTGCAGGGCCAAGTGGTTATGGCTCAAAATCAACTGCTGAGCAAGTCACTCGGGATTGTTCTTCCTCAGTCCCTTCTCAACTCACTGCCATAATCACTGGTTAGTTTATCAGAACCAACCATCTCTTATAAAACCCAAGAGAATTATAGATAGTAATATGAGCAAATTACAAATATGCACACACATGCATCTCATTATCCTTTACAATTGCATGGTAATTTGGATGCAATTTTTCCAAATATGTTCTATATGTATCCCTTGTTGATAATTTTCACTAAACAAAGGTCGAAGAGATTTCTGATCAGAAAAACATTGGAACACATGAATATATAATATATATATAGTGTATGGTTGATTTCAGATTTTTCAGGCTCTCTTTCAATCTCTCCTCTCTCTCTCTCTCTCTCTCTCTCTCTCTCTCTCTGTGTCTGGTTTTTTAGTGGCCTTTACTGCAGTTACATGAAAAATGGTTTTTACTGTTATCGATAGCGTTCTCTTAGTTTTTCAGTCTCATGAATATATGTATACATATACATATTTCTATTATCTCTCTCACCTTATTTTGCTCCATTAATTTGGATATGTGTCGTATTTTTTTCAGACACAAAATCCCGCATATATGATGAAGTTTTTTTTTTTTTTTTTAATTTTTTTTTATAATGTTTTTGTTAATTTTCAGTAACATAATTCAAAGACTTATTCATTTTTTTTAACCCCTTATATCTCTCTCTAAACAATTCTTCTTCTCCCCGATCTCATTTGTTTCGCTCCATAATGATATGAAAAATGAAGGGACCGTTTACAGAAGAACTCTTCAATCCATGCTTTCTTGGATGGAAACATAAAGTTCATCAGAATAATCCTGAAAAATATAAAAACATACCTAAATTCCTATCCAATCCCACCAAATTTTGATACGCTAGAATATTTTAATTACTATTTTAATGAATACATATATTCCATGCAAGGAATTTAAGTTGTATATTAATTTCTTGCAAGTGGTTCTTTTTGGCCCTAGCAAGTATGGTTTTTGTCTCTTTTGAATAGTATTCTCCCGTTGGTTCAGAGTTGCTCTCTATATCACAACTGCTTTCTGGACCATTTAATCATGCACTATTTACCCTAATTAATTAATTACTCTATTACCTGGGAATTACAGGAGCAACATCAGGGATCGGAGCTGAAACGGCAAGAGTGCTGGCAAAGAGAGGAGTTAGGGTCGTGATTCCGGCCAGAGATTTATCGAAGGCAGCGGAAGTGAAGGAGGGGATTCAAAGGGAGAGTCCAGAGGCTGAGGTTATAATCTTGGAGATTGACCTGAGCTCACTTGCTTCTGTTGATCGATTTTGTTCTGAGTTCTTAGCTCTAAGACTTCCCCTCAACATCCTCATGTAAGTTTTTTTCATTTATACACACACACACACACACACACACATACATACATACATACATGCATATATATGTATGAATATATGTGTGTTTGTGTTTTTGGTTGGCTCTAATGTATGAAATCTGCACAATTTGCAGAAACAATGGTGGGATGTTTTCTCAGGCTTTGGAATATTCTGAAGACAAAATTGAGATGACATTTGCTACAAATTACTTGGGTAACTTCTATTTCACTACCCATGAATTTTTTTTTATGTTAGACCATCACACAACCACCTAGTGTTACAAATTTACTCTTGTTATAACTCGCGGAAGACGATCCTCTCCTGAGCTCAGGATGGGGATCCTCCTGACCAACCCATCTGGACAGTCAAATTTAATCCAATGGTTGCAATTATTATAACTTTTAGAGGGCCCCCTTGTTTGAAGCCATTGGATTAAATTTGAACGGTCCGGATGAATTGGTTAGGAGGATCCCCATCCTGAGCTCAGGAGGGGATCCTCTTCCATAACACGCGTATTCATTTATTAATATCATATATTATAAGTTCACGGACAACTAATTATGTCATTTAGTTGCCACTAATACTACATTTTAATGATATTAGTCTGCATTTGTAAGGAAAAAAAACTTTCATTGTTTACTCATATTAAAACATGTGAATCAGTAATATCACACGGACAATGACTGTGAACTACCCAAAAAAACCGTAGTTTGGGGCATGAATGAGAGGTATTCACATGCAAGCAATGGCCTCAATTGCTGGAGTACAAATTTTGTTTCGAGCGGTGCTATCCACACATCCATTTTTACTTCTCACACACCTTTTGTTAATTTCTATATTTTGACCTTCTTCAATTTATTCAATCTGATGGTCATAAATTTAAAAGAATGTGTGAGATAAAAAGAGGGTGTAGATAACACCAACTTTTGCTCCCTTCCAAAAGATGCCAAGAAAACTTGGGCATGCTCATGTGGCCTAGAGTATGTGTGAAATGGACCACAAGGCACGTTTTTGGATTCTCTACAAGAACCCCTTTTCATTCTTGCCCGTGATAAAAAAAACAGCCCATTTGGGAAAGCGCATGACCATTCAGTCCTTTTATTTGGCAGGACACCATTTTTTGACAGAAAAGCTGCTGGAAAAAATGGTGGAAACAGCAGCTCAGACCGGCATCCGAGGGAGAATAATCAACGTTTCTTCTGTGATCCACAGCTGGGTTAAGAGAGATGACCTCACCTTCAACCAATTGCTCAACCCTAACAAGTAAATTAATCACACACTTAATCCTAATTAACCATTACTAAACCGTGATTAGTAATATCCGTACAAGCACTAATCGTGTTTGTTCATGCAGTTATAATGGTACAAAAGCATATGCTCAATCCAAATTGGCTAACATATTGCATGCCAAGGAACTGGCAAGACAGCTGAAGGTAGCTACCATTTTTCGAAGATTTTTTTTTGTAATGCGCCGGTTATATATAACAATCTCTAACCAGGACGTTTCTTAAACGTTACAGGCAAGAAATGCAAGAGTAACGATCAATGCCATACATCCGGGAATTGTGAAGACGGGAATTATGAGAGCTCATAAGGGCTTTATCACAGGCATGGATTCATTCCTTTGATCTAAGCTTACATGTGAATGACATCTTACAGTTTTGCAGAACGAAATCTAACTTCTCGGAACCTTTTTGTTTACGTGCAGATTCTGTGTTCTTCATCGCGTCCAAGTTACTAAAATCAACATCTCAAGGTGCTTCAACAACGTGCTATGTTGCTTTAAGCCCGGAGCTGGAAGGAGTGAGTGGGAAATACTTTGCAGACTGCAACGAAAGCACCTGCTCAAAACTAGCAAACGATGAATCTGAAGCTCATAAGTTGTGGAAGCAGACTCGTCGTCTGCTAATCCATAGACGACTTTCTCAACCAACAGCTTAAGAACAACGAGAAAAATGTGTATTCCATACCTCTGCCATTCAGCCATGTATATAAGGGGATTTATATAAGCAAAAGGTAGTTAGAGAGGCTTAGTATATGGAGACTACATAATGATCAGACTCCAGAACCAAAGAATCGTCACTTGGTTGTGCGGCCGTGACACTGATAAATTCCTCCCACCACCCAAATAGAGAAAAGAATGTATAAATTCCAAGGTAATTAATAACTGAAAGAACTTACATACCCTATGTTGTCACTGTTTTCATACAAGAAAATCGATATTTACATAACAAAATCTGAAATTCGGCTTCTAGATGCAATTTTGCCTGCTTGTATTCTCCGAAAACATGATAGATAAATTCAGAGCATAATGATGTATATCTGTGGCAGCATATACAGTCAAATATTTGAACCAAGGACTTACACATCAAACAATCTGAACTTGAGAAATCCATAACCAAATCATACATCCCACTAGCGTATATAATTCTTGCTTGTCACCTGGACATATCCCTCATGTCAAGGCAGGGACAAGGTTCAAGTCACGGCTGCAAAAAAAAAAAAAAAAAAAAAAAAAAAATTCTGGCAATTGGATAAAAAATATCAGTACTATCAGAGTAGTTATATCATAATTTACCGTAAACTGCATGATCAAAACCAACAAAAATGAGATACCAGAAGACATCCTGTGTGTCAAGGGAAGGTGAAAGTGAAACTACAACCGAACAAATTGTGAAGAAGAGAAACAAAGATACATTCTCATAACCCATGCCATCTACTACATAGTAAAAACACAATTCATGAAATGATAATACACCGAAATCTAGGATACAATGAAAATACAAGTGAAACACACACGTTCTCTAGCAAAGAAGGTTGTGGATTACAAGGCTTACATATTCATTACGGATTAGCTGTTCCGTTCAAGGAAGACGCTGAGTACACAAGTGAAACAAACCCAGCAACAAGGTGGTGCTGTCAAGTTGGGCTGCAACTCTTAACAATGAAGCTCTTTCTTTCTGTCTACTACACACAGAAATCAAGTTTCCTGGCTGACAAGTCAAACATCAACATCATTAAGCATCTTGGGTTGTGAATTATAAACATTCAACGTTGTCAAGTGTCTCCTCCCATCTTCATTTCTTGACCTGCCATGGTTTTCAATAGATGTTTTCAAAGGAATTCTACATCACCAGTTATATTTTCCAAAAAGGAAACAAAAGATTATTGCAAAGCATTAAAGAACTGCGAGCAATGAAAATAAATAGCAAGCAGAAACTTAGAAGAGAAAATGAAACCTATAAACCAAAATAAGGAAATACCCTTAAACGAGGTGACCGACGAATAGATAATGCAGAGGCAGGAGAAAGAATTGCTGCTCTACTCCCCTTCCCATGGTTTGGTTTCTTGAAATGTCTATTTTCTTCTCCGTATTGAACTTGGTGGTCATAAATCTTGGCCGGAGATTCACTTCTCTCAGTTGAGACAGACAAAACTGGAGCAGACCCAGAAATTGTGGAAGAATCTTGAGGAAGAACAGCTGGTAAACCTGTTGAGCCATAATGGACACAAAAATCAATACCGTATATCAATAAGTGCAGTAGAGTCAGGAACTAATACAGCTTTTAGAATAATATACAGGGCCACTATTTGAGGATGTTCCCCTTCCAGCACAGAAGATTTTAGGGAAATACATGAGAGAAGGCCTACCTTGAGCTGCAGCATCTTGAAACTTCACTCTCATATCTCTGGCAAATTTAAATAACTCATTGGTTCTGTTCAATTCGTGAATCATCTCTTTGGTCTCGTTCAAGTACGGATCACAATCTAACACTAAACATTAAAAGAAATGCAATATTAGAAAGTTGGAGATAGACAATATAAGATGTACATTCAAGATTAAACTATAACCTACAAATAAGAGGGACAATACTTACAGGTGTAAGTATCATTTGCATGGCGAACAGTGAAACAGAATTCCTGATCTGGATTCTTCAAACTAATGTTTTTGAATGTGAATTTTACACCTAGTCACAGACGGATGTATGTCATTCCCCATAAACAGTATATGAGAAATATTGCACAATCAAATAACTTAAATTACCATATCCGCCTTCAATGTAGAAACCAAGAACCCTATTATACCACGAGATGGCCTCTTTTATTTCATCCTTTCTGTCTGGGATACAATTTTCTTCAGATTCTGCCAAAGTTTGAACGTTACTAAAATTTAAGAAAAGTAACAAAATTTGGAATCACAATTATATATTGACGTCCTTTGAAATACCGAGTCTCCCTCCTTTAACAAAGCCAGAATGCAATCAAACAAAGAGAAAAAGTTTAACTATTAATAAGTATAAAAATGATAGAAAGCTATAACCAAAAACCAGCAATAATCCATAACTGAAATAATAAGAGGAAATTACCGAAAGATTGCTGAGAAAGGATTGCAGCATATTCATCCCTCTTAGCCCTTTGATCTTGCACTGTTCTCTTAAGTACTCCAATTCTAGCTTTCCTAGCTTCAATGGCCTCCATCAATGCCATTCGCTTGGCCTCTTTACGGGTCTTCACTACAAAGAATAATAAGAAATATAAACTAACACAGATTAATATGAAGAAACAAAATATCTTAAAAGAAAAAAGATTACAGCTAATCATAGCATAAGCAGCAACTTAATTGATTAGCTTTCACAAAATTTGTGTAATTTCTTTGCAATTTAACTACAAATTTTCCCCAGTAATTTCTAATTTCCATTAAAATTATAAATACAAAATGCAGAGATATACCTGCTAGGGCTTTAAACAAATCATCCTCAGCTTCCCTCAATTTAGCTTTAGCCTCTCCTAACTTTACCTGCACTTATTCAAAAGAAAAAAAACTTTAGCCAAATGAGATTTACAAAAATTTAAATCCGAAACCCTAATTTCGCACGAACCACACATCCTAACTCTGCTCAAGAACCGTAATTTATGCACGAATAACAACAAAAACGCAAATATAAACCCTAAATTGAAGTGCTTTTTGACAAATCGAGTATATCAAAGAGTTAAATGAGAAGCTGGACCTTGGGACTGGAGGGTCTCTTGTGCGGTAGCGCGGACGGAAGCCAGGGAATCCCGAAACGACGCCGTGAAGGCATCCAAATCCTGCTGGTGGATCGGAATCTCACTCTCGCAGGCCATCCGTAGCGACTCCATCTTCGTCCGTACGGACTCCTCTGGTTTGCCGTCCATTTGCTAAGGACTGAGGAGCGTGTGAGGAAGAGGGAGCGTCGGACTATTTTTTGAAAAATGAAATTTTTGCGCCCGCCAATTTTTTTTTTTTTTTTTTTTTTTCAGTGAGCGCATTGGATTTGGTTAGAGACATATGGGCCGTATTGGATTTGGTTGCAGGCATATGGGCCGGGCAAATATATGGGCCTCATGGATAAACACAATTTGGGTTTTGGGAATTGGGTTGTAGTTGTTGAACTGATCAAACTAAGGTTTTGTTTGGAATTGCCTCTGAAATTGCTAAAGCGTTTTCTGGAAAAGCAGGTGGTGGATGCTTCTTCACGAAAGGAACAGCACTAGGATTTTTATAAAAAATTTGATTGAGTTAATAATAGAAACACTTTCAGTAAAATCGCTTATAACCATAAGTGTGTTTTAGATAAGCAATCTCCAACGAGAGTTAAATTTGGTCCCTCTAACAGCATTTTACCGCACGGCACGTAAAAATTGTTGTAATACATGAACAATCAAGAAAAAAATACCGATATTGAATGTCACATTCATAAATTGTTGATATATCATGAGTTTACTAACATGGAATAAATATTGAAATAGTAAGTATTCCTCACATTAAGATTATGTATGTCATACGTAAACAAGCAAGTATGAGATAACCACGGAGGATTGTTGAAATTAATGTATTATTGTCATTCATGACTACTTGCATTCCAAATAAATAAACATGTTAGTTTATCTTATACCTAAACAACCATGTATCATTCAAATTCATCATTTTCTTGGGTAATTAAAAGTTGGGGTTTGTGAACATTAGTCCTTATAAAAAATTAAAATTTAAAAAAAACCTAGTGCTAGATTATATATTCAATTTAATCCCTTGAAGTGTACTTTTATCAAAATTTACATTTAGTTTTTGCTATTTAATGTGAATTTTTAATTAATCTCTCCACATTAAATTTTAATTTTATTAATATGCACATATTTAGTGACACACCCCGACCGAGATCAGGGCGTGCTGGCCGTCACGTGGAAGTGACGTAGCCATGTGCACAGTGCGGAAGCTAATAAAGTAGTAACGTAAAAGTACGAATAAATAAAAACTAGCATACATAAGGTCAAAGTAATAAGTGCTAGCGTAAGTGAGACACAAATTCAAAGCAGAAAACCCTAAGCAGTCCAAACTAAAATAGCGTTACAAGAGTGCACTCGAAGGTGAACATACGCTGGTGATCGTCTGTCAGAAATGCCGGGAAAGCCCTCTGGGAAACCACCAAACCAACTGAACAGCTAGAACCTGGAGGGGCGCAAAACAAAAGCGTGAGTGGGCAAAAACAAAGCCGTGAGGGAATGGTAAGCCCAAAGCGGACAATATCGTGCTACGGTGGTGGAGCGGGCCCGGGAAGTGGTCTCGCCCGGGCCGGGATGTGACAGTTTGGTATTAGAGCCTAACCCTGGTCGCGTATATGCCGACGAGGACGTCGGGCTTCTAAGGGGGATGGATTATGACATCCCACATCGCCCAGGGGAGTGATCCTTAAATGTATATTCTCATCCCTACCTAACACGAGGCCTTTTGGGAGCTCACTGGCTTCGGGTTCCGTAGGAACTCCGAAGTTAAGCGAGAAAGGGGCTAGAGCAATCCCATGATGGGTGACCCACTGGGAAGTTGCTCGTGAGTTCCCAAAAACAAAACCGTGAGGGAATGGTAAGCCCAAAGCGGACAATATCGTGCTATGGTGGTGGAGCGGGCCTGGGAAGTGATCCGCCCTGGGCCGGGATGTGACAATTTGGTATCAGAGCCTAACCCTGGTCGCGTATGTGCCGACGAGGACGTCGGGCCTCTAAGGGGGGTGGATTATGACATCCCACATCGCCCAGGGGAGTGATCCTTAAATGTATATTCCCATCCCTACCTAACACGAGGCCTTTTGGGAGCTCACTGGCTTCGGGTTCCATGGGAACTCCGAAGTTAAGCGAGTAGCGCGCGAGAGCATTCCCAGGATGGGTGACCCATCGGGAAGTTCTCGTGTGAGTTCCCAGAAACAAAACCGTGAGGGCGTGGTCGGGGCCCAAAGCGGACAATATCGTGCTACGGTGGTGGAGCGGGCCCGGGAAGTGGTCCGCCCCGGGCCGGGATGTGACAATTTGGTAGGGTCACCCATCATGGGATTGCTCTAGCCCCCTTCTCGCTTAACTTCGGAGTTCCTACGGAACCCGAAGCCAGTGAGCTCCCAAAAACAAAACCGTGAGGGAATGGTAAGCCCAAAGCAGACAATATCGTGCTACGGTGGTGGAGCGGGGCCGGGAAGTGATCTGCCCCGGGCCGGGATGTGACATTTAGTTTTTTAATTATAAATGAATGTAAATGAGAAAATATTAAAAGAAATTTGTGATACAAAAATATATAAATACATAAGTGTACAGAAATGATTGTGTCGAAATATATAATTGACTTTTTTGTACCGAAATATTTGTACCTACATGATTGTACCGAAATATATTATAATAAACCTAAATGTATTATATTGAATTAATGTACCTAAATGTTAATACCGAAATATATGTACCAAAATGTACGTACCTAAATGTCAATACCGAAATGTATGTACGTATGAATGTATGTACCAAAATGTACATACCTAAATGTCAATACCAAAATGTATGTACCTAAATGTCAATACCGAAATGTATGTACCAAAATGTACGTACCTAAATGTATGTACCGAAATATAATATATTGAATTAATGTACCTAAAAGTCAATACTCAAATGTGTGTACCAAAATGTACGTAATGAAATGCATTATATTGAATCAATGTAATTATATGTTTGTACCGATGGATATACTAAAATATTCAAATGTATTAATGTACCTAAATGAAGAACATAAAAAATTGTTATATCGGAATATATATTATAAAAAAAATTAGTTCCCTAAATGTAGACATTAAAATATATTAGATGAATGAAATAAAAATTAAATTTAAATGTAATTAATACATTAAAATAAAAATTAAAAGATAAATAAAAATAAAAAGATAAATAAAACATCAAAATATAACTAATAAATGATATGATTAAATGTACTGGGGACTAAAATTGGATTTTAATCTTACACAAGGTTATAGTCTAAAACTCATCTTTTTTAAGGATTAAAATGAAGTTTTCTATTAAAAGTTTAGGGGGAGATTGATTACTCTCACCACCAGCGCTAGGGCATACCCACAACTTCGAACTAGAAGAACATACACGTGACACCTAACTGTCAGCTGCTACCAGGTGCATAATCAATATGTAATGCTTTGACCTTTAAAGCCAAACAATTGTGTGAGAGTGGAAAGAACATGTAAGACCCACATGGATTATGATCATTGTATCAAATATATGTTTACTTGGATTACAATCTTCCTTTTCTTTAAATTACAATGTTGTTAAAATAACAAGAAAGTACAATGATTGTTTGAGATGCTTCATGCATGCATATATATATGATGTATTCCAAGAAAATTAAGGGAGTCGTAATGATCTTTCTTGCAAACCAAATCAAAGACGGAGTTGTATTAGTGCATGTTAATGTATATATTCTCCATAATTATGGGCTCATAACTTGTACAAAATCATTATATTGCTAATTAACTGCTTAATCAATCCAGCTATATAAGATTCCACGCAACAAACCATTACTATTCACTGCATTTTGTTGTTGGGCACATCACAATTCACATGCAGTCTAGGCTAGGTTTGACACCTTTTTTTCATACATATAGAGAGAGAGAGAGTACTCATAGATTTGAGAGATTTTTTAATGTGACGAGAACATAGAATGGTACATTACGTGTCATTATACAAATTGTAGGATATATGTATTAAAAAATTAATAACTTAATAAATTAAACTTCTCATCACTTAGATAATAACACATAATGTATCACTTTTGTTCCGGTCGCAACAAAAAATTTCTCCATAAATTTGACCATTTATTTCGAATTACAAGGTGCACGCAATGCAACGAGCAAGGATCAACCTCTCTCCGTCTCTCTTTATCATTTTAAGTTAAATGTGAAGGCTCGAAATCCTCGCAACAATTTAAAAGTCAACAAATAGTAGTCTGTTACTAAAGAAAAAGTTAGCCAGACAAATTTTTAGATCATATTTTGTAAATCACGTATATGATGTAGCGGTTGATGATTGGGCTAATTTTTAATTGATTTAAAGAATGAATCCAACCATCAACTGCCACATCATTAAATTTATAAAAGATTATCTAACAATTTGATCTTTCTAACATCACCCGTTAATAAATATTCGAAAAGGATCCATGAGTAACACACGGCATGTGTGTGTATGCATTGGTACGTAGAGGTCCATGCATGCATGCATGGACAAAAGTTTTCTTACTTAATTCAAACTTGAAAGATGATCATTCAGTCTTAAAGAGATAAAGCTATGAATATATATTGTATGTTAATCAGATTTAATTATATATATCGCGCCGAAAGAAGGAAAGCTAATTAGGCCATTAACCTTGAAAGAAGGGAAGAAAGTCCTTCTATACATTAAAAGCAATACAACAAAAACCCACCACCACCTCAAAAGTTCGTCAAAGATGAAAGCTAGGACAACTACCATACCCTCAAAGAAAAGAATAGTTAGCCTTCACTACGTGTGTTTAATTATTTAAATACGAGATTAACTCATTACTAATGATTAATTAGATTGCAATAATGCACACATAAGTTCGTAATTGATGACATATAATTCAAGCAAATTAATGTTACTTAATTTCATTAATTAACATCTTTGTTCAATTAATCATATGTATATCTACCATCATCAGTTCGTGCGTTTTCCACTCTTGTTGGTGACCCAAATGGGCCATGCATATATGCATTCATGCTTGGAAAATGGAAAAGTTTCTTAGTCAAAAAGCCTCATGGTTGATGACGAACCCTTGATGATATAACCTTTTTCATTGGGATCGTTTTTGCTCTTATTGTTTAAATCACTACGGGATGATTCAGTGGTTGGGGACGAATTTCAAATCTGTATTTCACACGACACGTCATGAATTTGATTCCTAGCGTTGGTG